GATCTGCCCCGTGGGAGGTGGGGCTTATGCAAATCCTGTCGCCTCCGAGAGACACAAGTGATACCAGCACTGGGAGGCGGCTGCAGCGCGGATCTTGGGGAACCTGGCCGCCCACCCACAACCCAGTCTCGATCCCCGAGTCCAGCTGAGGCTCGGAGCCATCCGGCGACCCGGCGAGCGGCCTCAGGTAACGCGGGCGGGGCTGGGCGGAGGCCCTTGTCCCCTCCCCCTCCGCTCTCCATTCCCAATCTCGCTTGCTGCCCCCTCTGATTCATTTCCCTGGCCGCAGGTTTTGCCACACGCGGCAGCATCTGGAGCGGGGACCCTCACCCAAGTCCCCAAGGTCCAGTGCTAGGCGGAGGCCCCATGTGTGGTCTTTTCATCCCGGTTGGAGGATGAACCAGGGACTCCAATGCCCAGTGACCACCCCTACCTACCTGTCAGTCACTGCAACCAAGGTCTCAGCCTCCTCCATTCCCCTCACCTCTTACAGCAAAGCACCAAGTCCTCTCATTCTTCCTGTCAAATATCTTTGTAATCTGTACCCTCTCCGGCCTCCTTGCACCAGTCACTCCATCTGATGGCCTATCTTCCTGCTGCCCTGCAGGGACTGTGCCAAAGCTCCATGCGGACCGTGTGGCTCCTTTCCCTAAGGTGACCTGAGCCTGGAGGGCAGAAGAGCTGGTTCAGATCTTGTCTCTGCCTCAGTGCTGCCTGACTTTGGCCAAGTCACTTCCCTCTCCGATCCGTTGTGAAATGGGGGAGGGGTCAGGACCGAGGGTGGACTGAACGAGATGATCTTGAATGGCCACCCAACAGTGACACACTCTGGTTGGATGGCTGATTAGGAGAAAACAGGACCCTTCCCCTCTATCCCTGAACTATGGAGGTGTTTTAGAGAGGAGGCCTGGGAGGGAAGCGTTAGTCCTCAGTGAAGGGACATTGCTTCTTACCAAGGCCTAGGTCAAGGCGACCCCCTCACCAGGCCCAGGCCCCCTTTCTGCTGTTAGGAATCCGTCCTAGACCAGCAGCCTACATGCATGGACAGCTCCAAGGTAGAGGTGGTCAGCAGGGCCTGTCTTTGTTTATCATCCCCTGCCTCTCATTAACAAGGAGAGAGAGAAGCTGCAGCTTCTATGGCTGCTGCTTGGAGAAGAGCAAATGAAGGAGAGGAAAGAGAGAAAAATCTCCTGACCAGGGAGCTGTTGTCACCACGGCAACCGTCTCAGCACCAGTTTCTCTGAAGCTGGGTGAGGGTGTGGGATTATTGCATCCCTCAGTCCCGCCCACCCTACTGCCACCTTCCCATCTGAAGCCCACAGCCCTGAGCTCTGCCCTCTGGAAGAAGCTTCTGGGCACACAGAGCAGCAGCTTGGTGTATGGCCCTGCGCCAGCTCCTTCGCAGCTGGAGGGCAGCCCGCAAGAGGTAGGCAGAGGGGCCTGTGCACTCAGCAGGGCTACAGCGCCAACAGAACGAGCCCCAGTGCATTCTGGCCTCCGCCTTGCTGCTGATGGGCTCTACTTTACCTTGGGTGAACCCTTCCTATCGTCAGGTCTGGCTTCCATCGCCTCTGAAGTTGGTGCAAGGGCAGAACACAGATAAAATAGCCTGAGGCCATTCTTCGGAGGAAGAAGTGGGTTCTGCCAGTCTCATGTAATCCACCAAGGAGCACTCACGGAACATCGCTGGGTTCCAGGCACCACCTCTGGGTCCGCAGGGTGGTGAGGTGCAGCCACAGAGGGACAGAGCGAGAATTCCATGCGGGGCAGCTACAAGAGGGCAAACTTGGGAGCAAAGGGAAAAGCGCTTCTCTCACTCTCAGAGGTTCTCCAAAATGGACTGGGAGGGGATAAGCTCATTACCATTGAGCAAAAAGGCTCAGGCAAGGGTTTAATGCAAAGGTCTCTCCTAAATCAGGCTCCATCCTAGAGTTCTAGAGCACCAGGTGAGGGTCAGAGAGCTCTGAGGTCTACATACTCATGGGGCTCAACTCCCCAGCCTCACAGGGTCTACTCATGCCCTCATGCTGCCCGCATGCTCCTGATTGTCCACTGTCCGGGTGGGGAGAGGCCGATCATAAGGAAGTGGGCTGCAGCCAGGCCTACAGACTGTTTATAGCTGCGTGAGTCCAGGAGAGAAGGATATTAGGGGAGAGGAAAACAGCTAAGCCATAGGTGAGGTAGGTTCTGGTTGTAAGAAACCAGGTTTGAAAGGAGTATATAGTTGTGAGGGAAGGAGTTGGAGGTGAGGCTAGACAGGTGGGCACCTTGGCACCAGGTTCTAGAGGACTCTGGAGTTTGAGGGGACACGTGGGCATGACCCCCTCTAGCCTATATTGCACTTTTGGGCAAAACCAGAAAAGACATTCCCTTGGAGGAGAGGAATCAGAAGAAAAGCACTTCCTCTGAGGCCGTTGAGCCCACAGGCATGGCTTGCCAAGCAGTGGCCCAGCTGGCTTTCAGCCCCCTTGGCTGTGCCCCTGGCTCTGACTGAGGAGAGAGAAAGGACATAGTGAAGTTTACAGGAGCACTTCAAAAGAAGGAACAATAGCCCAACCAGTGTAGCTCAGTGGTTGAGTGTCAACCTATGAACCAGGAGGTCCTGGTTCGATTCCCAGTCAGGGCACATGCCCAGGTTGCAGTCTCGATCCCCAGTGGGGGCTGTGTAGGAGGCAGCCAATCAGTGATTCTCTCTCATCACTGATGTTTCTGTCTTTCTCCTTCTCCCTTCCTGTCTGAAATCAATAAAAAGTGTGTGTGTGTGTGTGTCTTTTTACAGATGGACAGTTGACAATGGACAAATGGTGGGGTTTGGGGCTCACACACTTTTGTTAAACGTTGGCTATCTAGTTGCTCATTGACAAAAGGAGAGGATCCAGGGATAGGCTAGACTTTGGGGTCAGGTGGCCAACAGAACAAATGGAAGATAAGAATTAGGCCAGACTCAAGACCTGTGTGCTGTGATGAAGGGAAAGTAGTGGACCCTGCCTGCTTCCAGCGTGTGACCAGTTCCCATGGTCCTCTGCCCTTCAGATGGGGTGCCCCCCACCCCATGTCTGTAACGGAGATACTAGGCAAGGTATTATGGCTGCCACCCCCATTTGATTTCTTTTCTTTCTAAAAACCACTGGCCATTCATTCACAAAGGAACCTCTTCAGATGCTCTCTGAACTTTCATGTGTGAGGCGTGCCTCTGAGAGGTGGGCAAACCCTGTCTTTGACTTTGTGTGAGAATGCTGTGTAGCGTTTATTTCCCAGCATTTTTCGCTATGACAGTTTCATAAGTGTATTTGTAGAATAGAGCAATTGAATAATCTCTGAATTTAAGAGTCCCTAAGCACTCATTGACACCTTCTCATTTGGGGCATATTGAGCTTAAAAACCGCTTTTTATAAAGTCTCTAAATTCCGATTTATACTTTAGACGGGAACGTCCCCACGGGTCGATTGGATGGAATGAATGTGCTCAGTACGGACGCTGAGATACCTTCCACGGGAGGTTTCTGTTGTTCTGTGCTTCTCACCTCCCCTTTAGTGTTAAACTTACATTAAAACAAACCTTTTGGATTAAAGGCACTTAACCTCAGTTAAAATCACTTTTGTTGGGTGCACAAATTATATTGATGTGCGCATTGGTTCTCTGGCTGGATTTTACTGGCTTAATAATGAGGAAATTCATATTGTAGGCTGCCCTGTGTACTTGGGAAACTAAA